CGTTTACATATAGATCTACATATTGCATAAATTACATTCTTGATAACTATATATAAATAAAACTATTAACTGCATCAAAAAAACTAACCCTAACGTACCTGGCTTTAACGTTTCCCTTTTTATGGAGATAACTGTGTAGATCAACAGGAAATATAAAGCAATACATATGAAAATTATAAAGTATCGGGAGCTACTTAAGGTAAATGTATCGGTATTAGTTATATAATTTAATCATTAAGTATGATATGCAAGCCAAAATTTAATTAAAAAAAAAAAAAACTGATTTAATTTTTTAAACAGAGATACGTAACTGATTTTTTTTGGCGATTCTGGGTTTATTAAAATTGATTTTCTTGGCGATGCTAGGTTTATTAATTGACTTTCTTGGCGATGCTAGGTTTATTTTGGGTAAATACTGTATTATCAAATTCTTGGCAATTTTGATTAACGTAAGTCGGATAAGCGGATGTTATTTGTAGATCTTATTACACAAAAGAATAGGCACGAAAAGTTCAATATTTGGTACGTCAACTATTAAATTTTTGAGATTTACCTTTATATATTATTCAATGATTATAAAGTATTATAACTATGATGTAATTTTTTTATTTTTTTTATTTTCGTCATTTCATACCGACATCAATATAAATAATCGTGAATTTCAGCTAGAATTTTTATCGAATATCAATTATTTGAATTAACTTGAAAAGATATATATATTTTTAAAAAATTAATATGATGAATAGAGATACAGCTGATGAAAGTGATAACATTATTCGGGAGAGATCAAACGAAAATAAATGTGAATCAATAGAGATAGAACAAATAAATAAAAATGACGATGATTTATTTGTTAGTATAGATTGCTTAATTTATTTGTTATGCATTGTACTGTGTACTCAATCTGCTACATATTTTTATGTTGTGAAATTATTTTTGTGTTAATGTAATAAAAGAATGAACAATATTTACAAACTGATCAAAAAATCGGGTTGACAACTGAAGAGGCTGAGAAACGTTTGAAAGAATTTGGACAAAATGAAATTACTGAAAAAAAGCAGTAAGTTTACAATTTTTTATTCACTGTTCTGATTATCTCTTCAATTTTATATTGATTATTATTTAGAGTTAGGGTTAGGATTAAGCTAAAAGTTAACATGTTATAGAGTAAAATTGCTCAAGTAAAACTTTTAATTAGAGCACCAAAGGTGGTTTCTTTGAGAAATAAACAAAATGTATCGGTATTGAATTTTTCTAATCGTGTTACGTTACACCTGATCTTGAGATTTGTAGTTAGGGACCTCGATTTAATGCGATGCGATGCGCATAATAGACCAATTTTTAGCATAGCATATGCTAAGCATAATTTGACCAAAAAATCACATAATCAAAATTGGCGCCCGTTGATTGGCCAATTGTTAAATCATTGATCATCTTTTTTTTAATTTTTGTACCGGAATCAAAAAAAATTACATATCGGCAATTTTATAAAAAAAGAATTACGTTAAAATTTTTTTTTTCTTTAATACAATTATGGTATCTGCTTCAGAACGTCTCACCAAAAACCCCCAGTATAAACCAGATTTTTATGCTAGTGGTGGAAGCATTAGCTAAATTTGATAAACATATTAATAATAACTGCAATTTCAATTTTTAATGCTATTAGATGTTCTGACCCTCGCTTTATTCAATTACAACCACACCACCACAATATTTTATTTTATAAAAATATAGAAGAATTTAAAAGTCCTACAAATGAACTGATTACGGAATGGGGAATTTATTGTAGGTTGAATGAATTATTCGAAGAGGAATTTGATTTGAATAATTACTGGCAAAAAAAAATTGAAATTTTACCGAATTTATCTAAATTAGCATTAATTTATATTTGGATACCAATTTCGGGAGTGGATGTCGAACGTAGTTTTTCGACATATAATACGTAGAATCTTAGCAGATAACAGACAAAATTTGTCGGAAAATTCGATTAGCATGTTAAATTTTTTAAATTTTAATAAATAAACAAAAACTTTTATTTGGTTTAAAGAAAATCGCATAATTTATTATTATTTCACATAATTTTAGGAGTGTTTGGCATCGGCGCATAATTTGGACCAATCGCATCGCATAATTTGCTATTTATTTCTCATCGCATCGAGGTCCCTATTTGTAGTTTATGAAATCTGCGCCACAAACCTGGCGCATGCCTTCCAATAAAGGAAATAAGATAATGAAAAATAGTCGATCATTTATTAAAAAGGTTAACAACTTAATTGTAATGTATACCCCCATAAAAAGGTAGTAAGAAAACGTTGTTCTAATGAAAATTCTAATTAATATGAAACAATCTTTGTTAATTGTGAAACTATTTAAAATTAGTTATTTGGATTTATAATTTGTTTATAGATGAAGAATATTATATTGCGTTTAAACATTTAGGATGTAATACGCTTATTTTTTTTCCTATTAAGGCATTTCGTATACGCTTATTGTAACAATATATTTTATAATTAATTAAAAATATATAATACTTAATCATTAAACCCCATAAATGCATATTTAATAAAGAGAGAAATTCATTTTTTTAAACAAATAATAAATCATAAATTAAACGCGAAGACTTTTAAAATATTTATAAATAACTTACATCCTTTCACGAATTTGATTATTATAAAATTATTTTCAAAAAAAAAAAAAAAACATTAAATTTATTCAGAATGAAATACTTTCGATTCACTTCACATCTCTTTATTGCGTTGGTTACATTATCCACCACACAATCACAATTCACCTTTGGTCCAGATATATCACCGCAATGTTCCTCGGCCGTTCAAACTTTTCTCAACTCATCAGAGTTCAATGGATGTTTCCCATACAATAAGCTCAGCAATCAAATGAAACCTTATACGAATTTTACCGATTTCAAATCAGATGAACGAGAAATAATAAATATTGCAGATTCAATCTGTAGCCTTCCAAAATGTTCAGATTCTTTGATTTCATCTTTTAATTCAACTTTTCAATCGAAATGTTCAGATGAAATAGCTAAAAAAAAACCTGATACTAATAGTATAGCTGATTTTATTTGGGAATACTCACCATTAAGAGATTCATTTTGCTTTAAAAATTCTACTGGAGGCTATTGTTTGGTTGAGACTATTGATAATATTGAAGGAATTAATAATTTAGAACAAACATATTCGAATTTGACTGAGCAAATTTTGTGTACGAAATGCAATAAAGCGATTTTAAATACTTTTTTCAATTATGTAGTCTCGCACCCTCCTCCAACTGACATAAGTTTTCTAATTAGTTTTTTAAAACCTTTGATCGATAGCAAGTGTAATTCATCATTTTTAGGTATGTACACTTAATATTTACTTACTCACTTAATATTTACTTACTTACTATTTAATCTTATTAATTGTATTTAACTTTTATTTTTTAAAAATAATTTTTAGATGGAAATATTCCCATTTCTTTGAATAGTAATAGTAATAGTAAAAGTAATAGTAATTCAGCAACTATTGTTAATATGAGTTTCGCGACGTTGGTCGCATCTATCATAGTTTCATTCTTTTTTATTTCTAGGTAGATTAAATCTTATTTATAATTATTATTATTATTATACGTATATTAAACTTATTGCCATAGGCACAAGACATTTTGCAGTTCATATATTTTAAACTTTTTTATCTACATATACTTAACTGCAAATGTAATTTTGCATATTTTTTTGCTGAAAATTAGAGCTTGTACCCGTTATAAATTTCTACTCCGGGTTACTCACCCGTTTACAAGATCATTACCGGGTTACAAATCGGGTTATTTAAAATAACCCGAGTAACCCGGTTGACCCGGTTAACCCGGGTCATTTGACACAGACTCTTTTA